TCACATGAGTCTTTCTGTGTGGCTGTTAATTTGACATTATCAATAGGAAAAAAATCTCTACAATTAGCTTCAGTTAGAGGAGATGGAGGCGACTGAAAAGAAAACATATGCTGAAAATACTTTGTTTCTTCCTTCAAAATATCATTAGGTGAATTATGGGTGACTCCGTCAATTGTAACCAGTTTCATTAAGTTCTTTTTGGTAGCATTCCTATGTTGAAGATTAAAAAAGAATTTTGTGCATTTTTCCCCATATTCCATCCAGTTTGCTTTATTTTTATAATATATTACACTTGATCTTTCTTGAATAAGTTTTTCCATTTCTTTTTGTTTTTCCTCTAATTTATTCTGAGCCTCTATGTTACAGTTTTTATTGCCATCTATCTGTTCTGTTAGACTTTCTATTTCCTTTCTTAGTATAAACTCTTTTGACCTAAATTGCTTTTGTTTTCGAGATGAGTACTGAATTGCATGGCCTCTAAAGGCACATTTAAAGGTGTCCCATACAATATGGGGATTCGCTGTACCTATGTTATGTTGGAAAAAGTCAGTTATAAATTCCTTTGTTCTAATTATAAATAAATTATCATCTAATAGGCTTTGATTAAATTTCCAATATCCTCGCCCACGTGGAAATTCAGTCAGAGTAATGTATATGCCTATTATATGATGGTCCGACCGCATTCTGTCCCCTATCAACACTTTTTTTACTTTTGGTGCCAACGAGAATGAGATAAGAAAGAAGTCAAGACGACTAGCTTGATTCAGTCTCCGCCATGTATATCTCACTAGATCAGCATATTTAAGCCTCCATATATCTACTAGTTCTAATGTATCCATGACATTCACAATTTCCTTAAGAGCATGTGGGTGATTGTTTGTGGTGTGATTTCCTTTTCGGTCCATTGAGCTATTTAAAACAGTATTATAATCCCCCACCATAATAATATTGTCTTGAGTTGCTTGCAGGCTTGATAATTTATTATATATATTGTCAAAGAATTGTGGATCATCATTATTTGGTCCGTAAAGGTTAATGAGCCATATCTGTTTATGGTCCAATACCATATTTAAAATAATCCATCTACCTTGCGTATCTTTTTGGACAATTTGCACATTCGGATCGAAATTACTATTCATTAATATCATCACCCCTTTTGAATTTCTTTGCCCATGGGAGAAGTATATTTCCCCCCCCCCATTCTATTTTCCACGCTACTTCATCTCGAATTGTTGAATGAGTTTCCTGTATACAATAGATATTATATTCCTTCTCTTTGAGCCATGTAAATATTGTTCTTCTTTTGTTATTATCAGCTAAGCCATTACAATTATAACTGGCTATACTTATTTCACCATACACCATAATGAGATACAAGTTTCAAGTCTATTTATCATTATATATGTTTGTAAATTTACCAATAAAAAATAGCATAATGATTGAGTGTCCATATAGCTGTACCGTGATATTTGCATTGCTACGGAGTAACCCTTCAATTGTTCTCCACTAATTCCCCCGCTAAAGCCCCTCCCCATCCCAAGTTGAGCCGTCATCCCAGTGATCAGCATCCCCCCCACGTCCCTCCGTATCCCTAAGGCCCCGAGAGGCCAGGACCCATCCATCGAAAACAGCACACAGTGCCACCCACAAAACAGAAGCAGGTTAACCGCCAAAAGCATTTCCAATGCTTTCACCTCTATATATATATATATCTATATAACTATTTTTTAATTTTTTATTTATGCATATCCTATTTTCCATCATTATCAATTAATATGCGTAATAATGTCGGCAGTTCACGCATAGGATTCTAACATATAACCAGGATTGCCATTGTATTACATTTAATTCATTGACAAGCAATTATTATCCTAGCAAATAATTCCCGCGGTCCATCCCATACCCCCCCCCCCCCCCAACATCCCCACCCCCCCCCCACAACAGATGCCAGACCAGCACACACGCACATACTCACATACTCCAACACACTCAACCCCCCTCCTCCACAATCCACCATAAAATCCGATACTCAACGGCTGTTATATCCCAGAGCCCAACTCGAGAAATAACTTGATCTACGAGTGCACATACAGTTAAAGCTGATTGAGAAAGCATGCAAATTGAGCAGAAATTGACAACAATGTGAGATTTGATTAATCTACTTAATCTATGTCAAGTCCTAGGTGATGGAGATCAGATCCACCCTCTTCACCTGAGACACAAACACTCTGATCCCCTGTTGTAACCATTTTCCCAAGCATCTCCATGCGGTCAGACCTTTGATTATTTTGTGCCACCTGGGCCACAATGATAAACCCCCTCTCTGATTGTCCGAGTGTGACCCCCTCCCCATGGGTTACTGCAGCCAGTGTTGCCAGCACTGCCACTACCTGGGTGGGCGTACCCCACCGGAATCCCCACCGGCTAGGGTTAGGGTTAGGGTTAGTAAGTCGCTCTGGATAAGAGCGTCTGCTAAATGACCAATTATTATTATTATTATTATTATTATTATTATTTATTATTATTATTATTATTATTATTATAGGTAAAAGGTCGTCAAGGTTCTCATTAGCAGCTTTGAGAATTTCCTTGTATATTATGCTCTCCCATCAGGGGGCTCTGGCTTTGTAGGACCAACCCTGCCAGGCAGGCTCAGAATCTTGAGGGGGCGGTGCTGCTCAAGTAGGTCTCTGACCGCATTTATTTCTCTATTTAGGCTGCATATTCACAGCAGGTCCATAAAATAGATGGGAACTTCTCTTTGGTGTATGGGTCGCTCAGGTGGGTGTCCAGGTTATAGGGTTAGGGATCTTTCCATCATGATAGGACAATGAATAATTAGATTAGATGTATACTATATTTAAAAATGTATATCCCTCATCTACACAAAATTGAAAGCTCTCTCTCTCACTACCCCTGTTCATAGACCCCCGGTCGGCTCTGGGATATGCAACCATTTCCCCTCTCACTCACTTAACGCCGTACCTTTTCAAACACAAAAATGCACACCACATGGTTGACTGCGGAAGAAATGGGCCGAGCGTGCAAACGCACCCGCATCCCATCTGCTGCAAGGGGGAAAGGACGCCAGAGAGAACACAGGACCAACCACAACAACCATCCGCCAAAACAACAACCTCCCGCCAAAAAATCCATGTTCTAATTATTTGTATATAAAGATGTATTATTCTGCTTGTTATATCGTTTTATCCATTTATAAAATACTATACTTACTATAAATATTATTTAATATTACAATCCCTATCATTGCTAGTATCAGGTGCTCCAATATTTGACTCCTCCATTACAACTTTTAGAATAGCCATGGAGTAGTCTTTGTGTCTCTGAACATTTGGTTGTCAATATATAATTTATCCACCACTAGTGCAACACGTTTCCCTTTTAATCTGTTTTCCTTGAAGATTGGATACAGAACTTTGCGCCTTTCTACAATCTCCTTCGGGAACTGATCATTCATGCCTATTTTCGTGCCAGCAAGTCTTTTTCCCAGGCTTTTCACCATAGCTTTGTCCTTAAAAAAAGCAAATTTGGCAACGATTGGGCGCTCATATTTCTGTCCTCTTTTTCCGAAATGATGTACACGTTCGAGTTGGATTTTATCGACAGCCTCGAGTGGGATTTGTAGCGCTGTATGCAGGAAGTCCTTCATAATATTCTCTGTTATTTCTCCCTCCTTTTCCTGAATACCCGTAAGTACTAGATTTTCCCTCATCGATCTAGTTTGGATGTCTAGTAAGGCTTCTCTCAGAAGATTGTTCTCCTTTTTTAATTCCCTAACGTCCGTTTCCATTTTAGAGACTGTCACTTTTATTTCTTTGGTTTCTTTCTCCATTACCAAAGCTTTTTCGTCACTCATTTGAAGACTCGCTTTCAACTCTTTTACGTCTTTACTGACCAGTTCTAATATGCCCAATTTGTCATTTATCGACTTCAACAGGTCGCTTTCCACACTTACCATACCTAGTGGTGAAAAGCATATATCATCTGTATCTGTCGATGAGTCGCGTTTTCTTTTGGGGATCGGCTCTCCACGCTTGTCTTCAGTCATGTTTGGGTGTTGCATGTTGTAGTAATATTTGTCGATATATTTCTCTTGCCTTATGATCTTATTTCTGTTATTATCCAGATTGAATTATATTAACTGCGAATATATGATATGCTAATATTTAGTCTAACTTACTGATTTTGAATATTATGTTTTTATCTTGAGGTGTTTTGTACCGATTTCTATTCAATACGCCATCTTGTTTACGCGCCTCTACACCTGCATTACTAGCTGTTTGGGGTTTTAGGCTGGGTTTCTGTACAGCACTTCGAGATATTAGCTGATGTACGAAGGGCTATATAAAATAAAATTGATTGAAATTGATTGATTAATGTATGAAGTGTTAACAGTTAACAGTGCAATCACACCATTACTTTTTTATTTCAGTCACCAAGAGGACAGGTGGGCTGAAGATCACTTTGACAGAGATAAAAGACAAGCAGAATGGGACTTCAGCAAAGACAGTTTCTTCTGTGATGTTCCAGGTACAAACTCAACGTAACACTTCTCCTGTTTCAAGTGTTTATCTACTAAGTGTTTGACTGTGATTAAATGCTAACCAGAAGCTCTTAATGTATGTGCAGGTGACAGATACTCCAGATTAGTATTCACATCTGCAGAGGGGAAGAACCTTTGGAATATACAAGCAATTAAATCCATGTGCAATTTGGACAATACACGGGTTAGTGGAACAGCATTGTTGATGATGTGCCTCAGCATTTACTCATGTCAAATTTTGCCATGTTAATTATTTTTAAAAGGCCCCCATCATATTAGAAATTGTATGTCTGGAGTCTATGCTGCCTCAGGCTGGAACTACCCCAACTTCCTGATATATTGGCCTTGTCTCCTGTTATGGTCTCCTTGGGTCAATAGTTCTGCTCTGTTCTAGCTGTACTCTGTTCTTCTATCCTGTTGGATTGTGTTGTCCCAAATGCGCTCCCACCCTCAGTATTGGAGCCTGTGCCAGCGCACCACTGACATCTCCTGCTGTCCCAGCTGGACCCTGGGAAACTACGTGGCTATCCTCACAAACAAGTTCTCCTGCCAGAAGATCACAGAGCACCACATGTCACACACCTTCAAGATCCTGCGCTCCTGCGCCAAGTACTACCACAACGGAACGCTGGGCCCAGACTGCTGGGACATGACCACACGTAGGAAGGACCAGTCCAAGTGCACCAACATCTCACGCAGGTGCACCAAGTACAACACCGTTTACCAGATCTTCCACTTCCTGGTGGACAAAGAATTAATGAGCCCAAAGATCCCCGTCCTGAAACACGGCATGCTGTTCTCCTCCACAGAGAAAGGGAAGACCATGATGAACATTTACATTGACAACTTTGAGAACTGGAACTGCTCGGACGGCGTCACCACCATCACAGGGATTGAGTTCGGTATCAAACACAACCTGTTCCAGGACTACCTACTGACGGATACCGTGTATCCGGCCATAGCCATAGTGATTGTGCTGGTTGTCATGTGTGTGTACACACGCTCTGTGTTCATCACCCTGATGACCATCATCGCCATCATCAGCTCCCTGATCGTGTCCTACTTCCTGTACCGTATGGTGTTCGACTTTGAATTCTTCCCCTCACAGCCCTCATCATCCTGGTGGGCATCTGGGCAGACGATGCCTTCTTCCTCTGAGACGTGTGGAACTACACCAAGTTCGACAAGCCCAACGCTGAGCTGTCGGAAACGGTGAGCATCACTCTGCAACACGCGGCCCTCTCCATGTTCGTCACCAGCTTTACCACGGCCGCCGCCTTCTATGCCAACTACGTTAGCAACATCACCGCAATCCGCTGTTTTGGCGTCTACGCCGGCACGGCCATCTTGGTAAACTACATACTGATGGTAACCTGGCTGCCAGCCGTGGTGGTGCTCCATGAGCGTTACCTGCCCAACATCTTCACCTGCTCTAAACCTCCCCCACAGCAGAGTGGGTTCTGCACCCACACCCTCTGGGCCAACCTGTGCCAGAAGCTCAGCAAGTGCCTGTTCACCGTTTTAGAGGCCTCTCGGGTCTTCTTTGAGAAGGTGCTGCCCTGCATCGTGATCAAGTTGCGCTACCTCTGGCTCTTCTGGTTCCTGGCCTTCACCGTGGGAGGGGCGTAGGTGGTGTGTGTCAACCCCAAGATGAAGCTGCCCTCCCTGGAGCACTCAGAGATCAAGGTGTTCCGCTCCTCTCACTTCTTTTGAGTGTTATGACGCTGAGTACAAGAAACTGTTCATGTTTGAGAGGGTCCACCATGGGGAGGACCTGCACATGCCCATCACCATCATCTGGGGGGTCACCCGTGGACAACGGAGACCCCCTCAACCCTAAGAACAAAGGCAAGCTTATGCTGGACAACACCTTCAACATCGCCAGCCCAGCTTCCCAGCTGTGGATCCTCAACTTCTGCCAGAGGCTAAGGAACCAGAGCTTTGTGTTCCAGTCGGAGGAGCAGGACTTCACCAGCTGCTTCATTGAGACCTTTAAGCAGTGGATGGAGAACTGGGACTGTGAAGAGTCCTCGGTCTACCCTTGCTGCAGCCAGTCAACACTCCCCTACAAGCAGGACATCTTTGAGTTGTGCATCAAGAGGGCCATCATGGAGCTGGACCGCAGCACCAGCTTCCACCTGGAGAGTAAAATCCCTGGGCTCGCTTCGACATCAACGACACCATCCGGGCCATTGTCCTGGAGTTCCAGAGCACCTACCTGTTCAAACTGGCCTACAAGAAGATGCACCAGTTCTACCATGAGGTGGACACCTGGATCAAGGAGGAGCTGAATAACGCCCCGGCCGGGTGAATTACGGCTGGTTCGTCAGCAACCTGGAGTTCTACGACCTGCAGGGCAGCCTATCAGACGGCACTCTCATCGCCATGGCGTTGTCCGTGGTGGTGGCCTTTGTGGTCATGCTCCTCACCACCTGGAACATCATCATCAGCCTCTACGCCATCCTCTTCATCGCTGGCACCATCTTCGTCACGGTGGGCTCACTGGTTCTGCTGGGCTGGGAGCTCAACGTGCTGGAGTCAGTCACCATCTCAGTGGCGGTGGGTCTGTCGGTGGACTTCGCAGTGCACTATGGAGTCGCTTATCGCCTCGCCCCTTACCCTGACTGTGAGGGGAAAGTCATCTTCTCCCTCGGCCGGATGGGTTCTGCTATTGCCATGGCAGCACTCACCATGTTTGTCGCTGGGGCGATGATGATGCCGTCCACGGTGCTGGCCTACACCCAGCTGGGCACCTTCATGATGCTCATCATGTGCATCAGTTGGGCCTTCGCCACCTTCTTCTTCCAGTGCATGTGCCGTTGCCTGGGCCCCCAGGGCACCTGCGGACAGATCCCCCTGCCCAAGAGGTTTCAGTGCCAGGCTGTCAAAGAGGGCACCACCAACATCCCCTCGCCCCAGGGCAAGCATGGCACCAAGTACCAACTGGACAGTCGAGGAGGGGAGGTGGAGCATGAGCATTACGAGCTGGAATCATTAACTTCAAACCCTAGGAATGAGGAGAAACCTGCAGAGGAACAGGAGGCGTGCACCCAGCTCTATAATGGAATAGCCCCCCACTCTGCCCTCTGCACACACATCCCCTTTAAGAGCAAGGCAGAGCCCGGCAGAGGGCCCTGCTCTGAAAATGGACTGGGCACACTGGCCACCAACCTCACATCCAAATGCCAGTACTCTCATAACAAAACCTGCACATGTGGGGACCCCCCTCCTCCTCAGCAGTCTATGGGTATGCAGTGGACTCCCCACCCATGCACTCAAACAACCCAGGACTCTCCATGCCCCACTCCTCAGTTCCCCCTCACAGGCAGCCATGCCAACAAAGGCCAGAACCTCCTGTCCGCTCTGGATGCAGTCTACAAACCCATAGATTGCCGTATGCACGATGTACACTGTCCCCCAGCTCACTTCCACCACTGCACCCCGGGCAGGGTGTCCAGACAGGGCCCTCACAGCTGCCACCTCAGAAACTACTGTGTTCACACTGTCCCCATCCTGGGCGGCTTCCCCAGGGACCAGAGCTCTGCCCCAGACCCAGCTGGGATGGAGGAGTCACACCGGACTGGAGCGTCATCTGGCCCTAGTGGCTGTCCTAACACCCCAGCCCAGACTTGGACTCAAGGTCCTCCTGCCTCCCCTCTGGGTTGCACGCTAGCCCACACACACAGGCTGCTGCAGAGCCAATCATGGAACACAGAGGGCGGGAGAGAGAACGGTAAACGCTCCAAGCGATCAGAGCGTGGATAATTATGTGTCCACCACAACGCAAAAGGGCACTTGTCATAAGATGCCCAGCAATCAGGAGAAGCTTGAAACTAGTACTACTCCCATCACACGGGAAGAAAGTGTTGAAAAGTGCAAACAGAACCCCAAAAAGGAGAGGGCTTCCTCAGCCTCTCCTAAGAAACTCTACTGTTTTAACAGAACTTTGAAAGTAAAGTGCAATTCTGTCGAGTTTAATGTGCCAAAAGCTGAAGCCAGTGTGCCTGCTCTTGCAATAAATTCAAAACCCTCATCTGAAAGTTTATGTTGACAGCAAAGAGACTTATAAGAGAATTCTGAGAGACTATATCTAAAGAGTAAACTTTTGTAATATCAAGCTACAATGTCCCTGTGCAGTTAAAGTGCTTGGTGTATTTCATAGACAAAGTGCCTCGTGTCTTTCATCTAAAAGTATGGTCCTATCTGTTCTGTGATTACTGTATCTACTGTGCAGATAATATTGGTTTGATCAGTCAGATGTACTGTTTTTGAGTACACAGTAAATATGTGGTGTGTTTATGGAGCTCTAACATGTCTAAGGAAAGGTGAACCATTTACTTTATTCTCTAAGAAACACAGGCCTTCTTAGTAGACATCTGTTTCACGTTGCCACATGCCCCTCGGTCCAATATGAAAGATGTACTGAATGATTATAAAGTTATTTTAACACGATTGTCTGTTTTTTTCCACTGCTCCTACAGTATGAAATGAAAGTATCTCAAGGTTTTGTTCAAAGGGCATGGTTTGGAATAACAAATGGTACACCTGTTTCATTGTCTGTCTCCTGCTGGCGCCTTGAGAAGATTTGCTCTGTCTGGCCTGAGGCCACAGTGCTGTGCTGGGCTCTCATACATCACACGGACGTTTGATTTCTAATCTCCACTCCCCAAGAGCCTGAATCGCATTCCAAGCTGGTCATACACTGTAGGTTTATGAGACCTGCTGACGTCCTACAGCAGGGATCCTCAACTAGATTCAGCCGTGGGGCGATTTCTTTCTTGAGCGGATGGTAAGGGGGCCGGAACATAATTACAAATAATTTGTAGACTGCAAATTGACCGCAAGAAGCCCAGATATATTAGACTAAAACACAATCTCATACCTTGCTTACATTTGGATATAATCACGTCTCTATTATGCGTGGGAATACTTGGGAACAGATTTCCAAAAATAAGATCACTTGGAGCTGATTTTCTGGTGTGGGGGAGGGAATAAAACTATCCGCGTGCCAAATTCCCAGTTGCAGAACCCTGTTATAGACCATCCACACCCCTCATCCACACATGTAACTGTGAGAGTCATTTTCTAACAGTGACCACGGATGTATGTGAAAAGGGCATGAATTTTAAAGATAAACTCTAAAACCTAATAACAGTATAACACATATGGGTCCTATCATTTGATTTTGTAACATATCAATTACATGCTATTTTATTACCTTTCTCAGAATCTTTGGCAGTCCTTTGTTAACTCCATCCAATGAAAAGTATCCTATTCATTTACAAATTCCATTCATTTATGAATACACAAGTCCTGTGTTTTATTTGCTGTTCTGGCTCCCGCCATCCATCCCCCCTTCTAACAGGTTTCCCTGGTGGTCCAAGATCCCAGCCAAACCTTCTGCTACAGAGCAAGCATATACACCAGACCGGGCTCTGCAGGCAGTATGACTCACTACAGCACAGCATACAGATTTATAATTACACTTTCAGTCTTGAATTAGTGTCAGATGCGCAGCTCTGAACTTGTATCGTAGGCTACCAGACGCCTGTAATTATCTGAGAGAGACACCAAGCTGGCACTGTAGCTCATCTCCCCTTAGTCCAGTGCTTCTCAATTATTTTCTGTTACGCCCCCCCTAGGAAGAAGTAAACATTTCGCGCCCCCCAACTCTCCGCCGCAAATGTAAATAGTATAATTTGTCTATAAAATTGTTATAAGTACACCTCTGCATAACATTGTATCCTTATTAACATTAAAGAAAAAAATAAAAAATAAAAATATAGATCAACTTACAACAAATAATAACTTTATTAACATTGTTTTTTAGTCTGTAACAGAAAATACTAAAAGTGCATAAATTTGCCTGAAATTAAAAAAAAAAAATCAAACCTTATTTAAACTGTAAACATTTTTTGACCATTTGATACTGAAAAATAAAATTTAATATAATCAATAAATAATAATACATTCAACTTGATCAGCAACATTAACTCAGGAGCACAATATATGAAACACTTTGACCTATAAAACAAAAATGAATAAAACAATTTGTGCTGATTTATTATTATTTTTTAAATCAAAATGAGGAAGTCAGGATTAATGGCTACAATGAGCACGTTTTGCAGTGCACAGTTTTTCGAAGCGGGGTTTGAAGCATGATACTGCAATTCTCAGCTCCTGCTCAATGTTTAGCTGGGACCTGTACTTGGTCTTCAGTGCAGCAACAGCAGAGAAGCCAGTCTCACAAAGATAAGATGTTGCAAAAGGAAGAAGAATGCCCATGGCCCTCTGCCCTTGATGCCAGTGCTTCTCTGTGTATAACACAGTGTGTCCACTCAGCATTAAGTGAGGCCTTCTTGATGAGTGCCCGAATTCCTTTTCTCATGCCATGGTCTTTGCACCATCACTGCAAACATCAATGCAGTTCTCCCACTTTAGCCCATTCTCAGTCAGGAAGCAGTCCAGCATTTTGAATAGCTCTTCAGCTGTGGCTCTGTCTCTGACATATTTACGAAAAAGTAGATCCTCACACAGGGAGTTTGTCATGTCAAAACGTACATAAGCGATAAACAAACAGTCTTTGTTGCTGTCAGTTGCTTCATCGAACTGTAAGGCAAAACGTTTGT